GATAGATAGATAGATAGATAGATAGATAGATAGATAGATAGATAGATAGATAGATAAAATGGGAAATTCCTGGTCCTATTTTGTTCTATGGAACACCTTATATGGGTTCAGTTATCTGTTCTTTTAATGCTTTGTAGGAATTTTCAGTGGAGCTGGGTCAGGTAGTCCTTAACCGTAAGTCTAGCACACTGGAAGGCTGAGGCTGAAAGATTTCTCTGAGCAGACAGACAGCCAGGTTTATGTAGTCAGAAATTACCTCAAGAAAATTTAAAAGAAAACAAAAAATGGTGGGGGGAGAAGAATGAAGTCAGGTGCTGTGAAACCCTCTGTGACACTATTCTTAATCTATGCCTACATAGTAAATAAATTTACCCTAATTAAAGAACTACTTCTTTGGCCTGGTAAGGCTGCCCCCCCTCACGGGAGGTGATCAAAGAGCAGGCCAATCAGATTATGTCAGAGGCAGTCCTTCGTCCCATTACTATGGAACCCACTTTGACACCAAACCGCCATGGGCTACATTTGTGCAGGGGTTCTAGATTATCTCCATGCATGGTACTTGGTTGGAGTATAAGTCTCTGGGAAGACCCTGTGTTCAAATTTTCTGGTTCTGTTGCTCTCCTTGTGGAGTTCCTGTCCTCTCCAGATCTTTTTTTTTTTTCTGAAGGTAAATTTAATGCCATTAACATATCTTAAAAACTGTGACAACATTTAGTTTTTACATATGAAACTTAGATGTTACAAATGGCTCCGTAAATATAACTCGTGTGTAATCATGTTTTAGAGTTTATTTTTTTAAGTTTGATCCAGGGTCTAATGTAGTACAGGATGGTTTTAAATTCAGAACAATGTTGCTTTGCATAGACCAGGAAAGTAAGTGTTCATTTAGGCGCAGAGTGCTATGGATAATTCATCTAGCAAAATATACATTCCAGAGTAAAGGAATGGTTTTTAACATGATTTCTAGAGAAAGATTTTAACATAGATAATTGCTTCAAAAGCCATATTCAAAATCCTGAGAGGTAATGAAGTTTTTTAAGCACATTCTGTAATGTTTCTTTTCTTTGTTAAATAAAACATAGTGTGATTTATTTACTGAGCTACTGAGCTGCTACATTTGGAGAGAAAGGGCTGTATGATAGAGGTTTTTAAAAAACTGAATAGAGTACATGTAACACAATGTTTGCATCAATTACACTGTTCTTGGCATAGAAAAATTTTCTCCAATTGGAAAATATAATTTGTTCAATATTGGCCCAAAATATTTTCCAGAAGGTAGGCATTTTTTTTTAATTTTATTTTTTTCTTATCAGTTACATTTTAACTCTGTATCCCAGCCATGTCCCGATCCCTCATTCCCTCCCAGTCCCTTCCTCCCTCATCTCCACCGTGCCCTTTGCCAAGTCCACTAATAGGGGGGACCTCCTCCCCATTCATCTGATCCTGTTTTATCAGGTATCTTCAGGACTGGCTGCAAAAACCTCCTCCGTGGCCTAACAGGACTACTCCTCCCTTGGGGGGTGGGGAGGCCAAAGAGCCAGTCATTGAGTTCCTGTTAGAAACAGTCCTTGTTCCCCTCACTATGGGAAACCAATTGGTTACTGAGCTACCACAGGCTACATCTGAACAGAGGTTCTAGGTTACATTCATACATGGTCCTTGGTTGCATGTCAGTCTCAGAAAAGACCCTGTGCCCAGATATATTTGGTCCTTGTGGAGCTCCTATCCTTTCCTCATGAGACTAACTCCCCTTCTTTCTTATGATTCCCTGTACTCTACCAAAGGTTTGGTCATGAGTCTTTGCTTTGAAGACACTGCTAGTTAGAGTCTTTCAGATGCGCTCAGTAGACTCCTGTCATATGTTCAATGCGCATCAAATCTGTCTTTCTTACCCCATGTCCGCTCTCTTGATTATCTTTTTTAGGTGTATAGATTTCATTATGTTTATCATATCTTATAGGTCTATATAAGTGAGTACATACCGTGTTTGTCCTTCTCCTTCTGGGATATTTCACTCAGGATGATCTTTTCTAGATCCCACCATTTACCTGCAAATTTCATGATTTCCTCCTTTTTGATTGCTGAATAGTATTCCATTGTGTAAAAATACCATAATTTCTGTACCCATTCCTCCGTTAATGGACATCTGGGTTGTTTCCAGGGTCTGGCTATTACAAATAAAGCTGCTATAAACATGGTTGAGCAAATATCCCTTTTGTGTACTTAAGCAAAGTTTGGGTATATACCTA